ACACACACACACACACACACACACACACACACACACACACACACACAAAGGAGATTATCTGAAAACAAGCTAATCTAATTTTTATAATCAGACCTATGTAAGGAGATATTCTGAGTCTCTGCTTCATGTGTGTTTTTAAAAATCTCCACTCCACACATAGCCCGAAGAGGCTGTTTCCTAGAGTCCCTTGGAACACAGAATCTGGACAAGTTCTCGTCCCAGCCTCCCGCCATGCGATCTCTTTATTTTACTCCCACAATAACTCCATCATCTTTCGTCCCAGCAAAGATGCCCCAGCTTCACTGCCAAGGTTCACGAAGCCACAGCAGAACACTGAAATTGGAATTGCAAAGTATGCCACGTTTGGATCTAGAGTCAATTTAGGCTCCTATGTAGGTAGATCCAATCTTGGGTGTCAGTACAGCTGGGAGTTCTCTCCTGACTGATACAATTTTTCAAGCACTCTCAACCCACGCCATCCGCAAAACAATAGGCTCATTCCACTTGATCCATGGTAGAGTACCATCTTAATAAAACAATGTGGCAAAGTCACTAAGAGTTAGAGCTAGTCACACTTGGGGGCTAATCCTAGCCCACCATTTACTAAATATGCTGTTTTATGTAATTTGCTTGTTCCCTCTGGGGTTGAACTTCTTATAAATGGGAGAGCATGCCATCTCCCTCCTGTAGCTTTTATCCCATAAATGAGAAAACATATTTAAAGTGCTTAACCTTGGGAGGGGCAAGACAGGGGAAGATACAAACTACTACGTTTAAAATAAATAAAATACAAGGATGTAATATACAGTCGAGGGAGTATAGCCAGTATTTTATAACTTTAAATGGAATGTAATCATAGGAATATTGAACCACTATGTTGTACACCTGAAACTAATATTGTAAATGAACTACATTTCAATTAAAAAACAAAGTGCTTAACCTAGGGCCTGGCATTTGTGCACTCACAGTAACTAGGAACTAGTCATGCATTGTGTGGTGAGAAAATCATACATGCAAATAATCCAAGGAGTTATCAAGGAGTTGCAGTGGTAACCAGTCAATACCTAAGGGTGGGAACTTCCCTGGTGGTGCAGTGGTTAAGAATCTGCCTGCCAACAGAGGGGACACAGGTTCGAGCCCTGGTCCCGGAAGAACCCACAGGCCACGGAGCAACTAAGCCTGTGCACCACAACTACTGAGCCTGTGCTCTAGAGTCCGCGAGCCACAACTACTGAGCCCACATAGCCCAACTACTGAAGCCCGCACACCTAGAGCCCGTGCTCTGCAACAAAGAGTAGCCACCGCTCACTGCAACTAGAGAAAGCCCATGCACAGCAACGAAGACCCAATGCAGCCAAAAATAAATAAATAGATAGATAGATAGATTAAATACCTAAGGGTGAACAGGTGTATGGGATTCTTACTTGAGGTCATATTTCAGGTTGGTGTTTTACAAGAGAAAGAAAATGCCATAGATAGGAGAGGGGCAATAGGAAGATGTTTCTTCAATAGTTTATCTAGAGCTTCCTGCAGACAGGTGCTTCTAAGCTAAAGGTATTACGCTTAAGAGAAGAATGCAAGAGTATCAAGCATACATAAGCACAGTACTGTTCCAGTTCTGTTCCTGTAGCCAGGAAAATAAGCATCCAGGAAATGATATTCTTAAAATGTCATTTCAAGCTTATGTATCAACATCACAGTCATGATTAGTAGGCAGAATTAGACGAAGGGACCAGCTGATCTTTGTCTGGCTTGTCTGGCCACAAGTCTTCCTTCTTTCAAGTGTGCAGGGAAAAGCATGAGTCACAGGATACTCGTCTAGTTCAGACACTGTTCCAGCAAAACTTACCAATGTTTTAAACTTTAAAATAATTACTTATTTCAAAAATGGTTTTGGAAATCTTCTCCTCAGATATAACATGAGGTTTGTTTACCAGCAGGACAACCAAAATATGAAGCCAAGGTATTCCCGAAACTCAATGCCATCTACCTAAGTTTCTATCTTTAAAGAAATTCTGACAAACTCCTATCCAACCTAAACTCTTATCAATGCCAATCAGGCTCTCAGCCTGATTTTTCTTCTCTTTAGCTAAATTCTTAAGGTTCAGGTAATGATTTATTCTAGAGTAGCAGGGAACTGCTTGCAAACTCACTCCAAACATGTTCTTTTAGTCTTTGTATAGATGTTTCCTTTTCTTTTTCTTTTTTTTGTTTTTTGCTAAAAATTTTAACCACCATCATGCATGCACTATCATAACAAATATATCCCCTGGATTACATTTGACTTGCTGATTTACTAAGTCATACGGACAGTTTTTTGCACCAAGAAATTATGCATGTGTGGAATGGGTTACCTTTAAAAAGTTGGATATTTCAATAATAACACAAATATATCTGGAGATCCCCAAGATGAGTAGGCAAAGTAATTCATATTATATTCAGAATATGTTTTTAATAAAATAATCAAGATTAGGTGGGTTAGAAAAAGATTAACACAACTGAAAACTGAAATAATTGGAGGAGACTGACCTTTAGTTTCCTCTTTTCTAATTGTGGAGAATTTCAGATTACTTTGCATTTTACAATAGTTGTTTCCTAAGTTTTGACACCCTTTTAACCTATAGAATTTATGGAAGTACACATGAAAGTGTTAAGCTTAAAATCCTGGATTCTGTTTTAGATAACCTCTGTTTTTCCATTAATATTTCTTGGAGAAAACTATAGTAATATAGTATTTTCTTCAGTGATCCTGTGGCTAAGTCTAGTATTTTTGTGACCTATTCTTTCTGCTTAAGAGATTCCCGTTTTTTTCTCCATTATAAAAATCTAGTCAGTGTAAAAGAGGACCTGGTTAGAATTACCCCAACGTTTTCAGATTAATTATTTCTAGTTTCCTTCCTGAAAAAGACCTTTAGTATTCTGCCTGCATTCACATTCATTTGGTCATTTGCTTTACAATGGGCTGGCCTTTGCTGACCTGTTTTTACCTCCTTTTAAAAGTTGGTTATCTGCAATTTGAGCCACCAGTAGAAGTCATTTTTAAAAAAGTTTTTTAAGCCTCACTTTTTGCCAGTGAACACCATGCAGCTTGTTTCTAAGTATAAAGCCATCTATGTAAAAAAACACCACTTAGAAATCACAAGGAAGGCACCATTTAGCAAGTGGAGGAGATGATTGCAGTAGTAAGAAACTGGGGGAATCCTGCACCCACTAAAGAGTACTTGAGTGTTTATCATAACATCAGTCTCGCCTCGACTGTTGCCTAGCAATTATCTAAAGACCTGCTTCACATTTCATTTTAATTTAATGAAGTAAATCAAAGACTTTTGTTTTGTTTGATTGCTTCTTTACAGGTTAGGAACAAGTCTGGAATGAAACTTAATTAACTGGGCATTTGAAGATCTAAGCCAACCTGTTTACAAATTTTCTGTTGAAAATGCAAGCTGCTATCTGTTAGTAACTTTCAGAAGCCCACTCTTGTAATTAAATCTAGAATGCATGTACCAGTTTTGTTGCCGAAAATCACCAAGAACAGGGTGCTTCTTGCAGACCTAACCAACAAGCGGTCTCTGTCTGCCAATAACTGAGAGTAACTCGACTATATCGTAACTAGGACAGGAGTCAAGGAGACAAACCGATTTAATATCTCATGGAGAATTCAAAGCTCTGCTTTTCTAACTTTCCTCACCATTTCTTGTCAGCTTCCCTTCCCCCGCACTACATACCCAGAAGCCACTCAAACTGCCAACCGTGTCGAGTTGAACTTACTGCAGTGTGATGCAGGCGAAGGCTAGGCACATCTCTGAAGCCAGAGCAACTGCTTTTCTGGAGAGGAACTGGGACTAGCCAGCTAGCAGGATCCTTTCCAATTCACACGCTCCGCTCAGTCAGGAGTCCCCCTCACGGCTCGGCTTCCCCAGAGGAGTGGAGCTTCAAGAACTCTGCTCACAGCACCTCCTCCTCCTTACTTCCACCCCCTTCCAGAACACACAGCCCATTCTAACTAGTGTCTGAGAGATGGAAATCGATTTCTAGTCAACCACAAGGGCTGCCTGCAATCTCCCGGTTCCTGACAATTTGCAACTCAAAAACAGCGGAGGCTGAAAGATGTAGGTTTCCGGAGCCTGAAAGTCAGCTTTGGCAGTCCCCTTCCCCACCCCTCACTCCTCCCACTTCCCCCCTCCTCTATCGCGGCCACCTCCAGTCTCCCACTCAAGCTAGGTATCAAGAATGATTATTTTATTATCCAAACCAACAAGCATCAGGAGGAATTTGTCAGAGATGAAATACCTGTTGTCCATGACTAATGCTCTTCTCTCCTGTCTTTGAGTCCTTGATTGATATCAAGAGGCGCTGATATTGGAAATCTGTGCGGGTGTGTGTGTGTATGTGTGTGTGTGCGTGTGTATGTGTGTGTCGACGAGGCAATCCGCCATGCAGCGGCTGCAAGCAACAGCCCTGCCTATCTCTGGCTGCCGCTTCTACAGCTGCTATTGCTACTATTGCTGTTGGAACTCAGGGGAAATGAGACAGGGAGACAGTGCTTTACAGCTATTTAACTGCTGGACCAGTTATAAGACATGGGAGGAGACTGTGCAGGTGTGACGAGCTGTTGTTGAAACATTGAGCTTGATTCACGGCAATTACTACCATTCAGGATACAATTCCCCTCCAACAGGAAACCTGATACCTGTCTCCCCTCTCGCTTCTACTAACTATAGTCCTTGATGGGTCATTTTGCATCAAACACCTGCCTAACCCACTTCTAGCAACTGTAGAAGCTGCACACTCTATTTCTATATTAGAACTTGGTAACCTGGGAACAGGTGATTGGGGGATGGATGAGGATGAAGAAGGAAAAGTATGGGGGAGAGTAAGTGAATATTAAAAGAGCTGTATGTATGTCTAACCAATTAGGGCACAGATAAAAATGCAAATTTTGAGCTCTGCGTGTAAAATAATGCATTGGGGTAACAAAAAGGCAAGCCGGTAAATGACGATGCCTGTTTTACAAAATGTGTGCAAAGCCAGCTAGTTATTCAGGAGCGTGTTTAACAGCTTAACTGAAGAGTATCTTGATACAAACGTGCCTTGGTAGCTCTCAGCTCCCGTGTTACATCTACTGTGATTTCCATGTGCTAATATCACCGTCAGCTACAAATTCTGGTGAAATCTACTGGCTACCACTGCCTATGAACACCCCCTTTCTCCTTATTGGTTGCTCATTCTCTGCCCTGTTATATCTCCAGATTATTCTCACATAAGGTGATATTCAGAACTTACAAATTGAAGACGTTCTCCAAACCCCCAGAGACAAGAATACTTCTTAATGACTAACGTGATTTGCTTTAACAACAGTTTGTCTTCATGTTCTTGTTTCTGTAATAGATCAGGAGACTACAAACAATCCCTCCTAAATAAACACACACACACACACACACACACACACACCACTTAATTGAATAGTACTATTAATCCACTTTCAGCATTCAATTTTCTGAGCTAAAAATAAACTTAATTCCTTTTGATTTTATTAGTAATGAACACCTTTAAGTATTTCTGCCTTGCTCTGAGCAATTTTCGTATTTGCCATACATTCTTCCAGTTGTTAGGAATTGTATAGTCAGGATTAAACTGAACAGGTGTTAATGCAGAAAAAAGAAAGACCCTGGAAACAGAGAACCCAGAAGAAGGAAAGGAACCCAAAAGGATTAAATAATACATCTTTTCCTGATCTGTTTACCTTAGAAAATCACTGCCTTTAGCTAAACAAAGGTCAGTTAACATGCAAAGCATTTCTCAATTATCCAATAAATATCAATTGACCAAAACCAACCTATTTACAATTGTAACAGAAAAATGTTTTCTTTTAAAAATCATGCAATACAGTAAATTGACAGTATCCAGAACTTTTTTTTTTTTTGCGGTACACGGGCCTCTCACTGCTGCGGCCTCTCCCGCTGCGGAGCACAGGCCCCGGACGCGCAGGCCCAGCGGCCATGATTCACGGGCCTAGACGCTCCGTGGCATGTGGGATCCTCCCAGACCGGGGCACGAACCCGCGTCCCCCGCATCGGCAGGCAGACTCTCAACCACTGTGCCACCAGGGAAGCCCTCCAGAACTTTTTAAATGTCAAAATCCTAATGAAAAATGATGTCAAATAGCCTCATATTTTTGCCTCAATTTTTGTCTATTAAATAAGTATTATACAACATACAATCGATATTAAAAATATGAAGAATAACTTCACATTTTCATACTTATATATAACGGAATGTAAGAAAGTAGGCAAAAGTAGTGTACACTAGAGATACATTTGACACAGAGGCTAGCTTTATCCATAGGTGATGTGATGTGAAGGTTATCCTGCCCTTCGAATTCCATAGTTTAGTATTTTGGCTTTACTTTTTTTGGCTTTACTTTTACTCTTATTTTAAAATTCAAATATATTTAGGAAGAACAGTTACAATTTAAACATTCTTGAGAGAGAGAATTTATTAGTTATCTTTATTACAGACAAGCAGGAAACTAAACATCCAGGTTAGGTAGAGAAGGAAAAACCAGGAAGTACTGAAATAATTGGTCAAGAACATTTCACACCAGTTTGACTAGTTTTTAAAACACTGTTTACAACATTATTGAGATTTAAAGAAGAAACAGCTTTCTTAACAAAACTATCACACAGTCCCTGAGGTTTGGCAACGGAAGAAGAAAATCTTCAGCTGGGGATTAATGGCTGACCCTTAATCTCTGACTCCTGCCATTCAGGATTTTCCATTTTGTAGGAAAACTTATAAATCACTGCTTTATAACCTCATTCTCATTGCTCCAAGGTGCCTAAATTTTCAGAAACTTCATAAGGATCATTGTATAATTAATCAATCTAAAAAAAATAGTGATAGAAAAATGAACCTGCTCTGTAAATTCCCATCAGTCAACAAAATCCACAATTTATGGGAATATAGAAAGAAATAATTTCTTAATTTTCAACTAAATCTCTTTTATCATAGAAACATGTATTCCCAAACTAAATTCCATAATTTAATAATATTCAATCACTGAAGAAAAGCCAAAGGTCGGTAAACCTACAACGGCAGAAGCCCTGTTTGTTTAGTTCACTCATGTACCTCTGGAATCCATCAAAGTGCTTAAAATATGATGTGTGCATAGCAAATAGATTTTTAATAAATGAGAGAATGAGTAAATGAATTAACCTCTGAATGCAGGGCATTGGGAAGATAAGTGAACTGGGAATAAAGATGTTTAAATTCTCCCAGCCTCTACTCTGCTGGTAAGTAACTGTGGCACTTTAGGCAAGTGACTCACTTCTTGTGGTCTCAAAGCATCCTTTCAGGCGTATCACTCACAGACTCCACAACACTGTGTAATAAATGTCTGCCCCCAGTATTCCTCCAAAATGTTTTTTCTACTATACAAGTTCAATCAATAAAATTCTCTAGAATCTCATTTCCTGAGCATTTTACAAATGGTAACATTAGGACCCATATAGTCTCTAAGAAACACATGGTTTTCCCCCACTTTTGACTCTCAAATCTGCAACTAGTCTATTGAGTACCAGACCACACACTTAAAGAAAATAGAATGTTACACATTTAAGTGTGTGTGTGTGTGTGTGTGTGTGTGTGTGTTTCTAAAATAATAGTCCTGAATCAGCGATTACAAGCAAGGCCTTTGTTGACCTTTTACAAATGGAAATAAGCTAACAAACAAACAAAAAATTATAAGAAACAGAGCTTAAATAACAAAATTTCATAGATTACTTACAGTAAATATAAATCCATATTCAATCACAGACTTTCATGTAAACTGGTGTTTAAAAACACCTTATGTTAATTTTATTCAACAAATATTTACTGAGCATCAATTTAGTGCAAAGCATTGGAAAGAGAAACACAGTCCAGTCACAGCAACTGCTTTTAAAGGACATATGGCCCTATAAAGAAATGTATTCCTACTTTGTAATTAAAATTTTTTGATTTAAGTATATTATGTTTCAGAAAAATAAAATAGCTCAAATTTGTATCAAACATGATTTAAACTCTAGCCAAAGTTGACTTAAATGATGAAAGGAGAGCTACTTCCTAAATTGAGCAGACTGTCACATGGGAAATTTTCCACTGGTTTCCAATCCATGACTCAGTAGATGTAGGCTGGGAGGTTGGGGAAGATCCAGAAAAGATAAAATCTTATGGAACTACCTTTAAAAAATAATAATCGTAACATGTTGGATATGGATAGGTCCTTTGACCTCATCTAGTCCAATTCTCATATTTTATAGGATAGGAAACTAACATCTTAGTTCATCATGGCTTATTGCTGGGACGGCCAGTTACCAGTTTCTCCACTGGCGAGGAATAGCACAGTATTAGACATGCAAAGCTCTGGCACAAAAAAATCATGCTTTGATTCTCAGGTATGTCAATGACTAGTTGCATGGTCTTGGGAAAATTACTTTTCTACACTTCAGTTTTCTCATATGTAAAATGAGGATAATTTTTTTCAGCTTCACTGAGGTACAATTAACAAAACTGGAATATATTTAAAGTGTACAGTGTGATGATTTGAGATACACATACATTATGGAAGGATTCCGACTATCAACTTAATTAACACATCCATCACTTCACATATTTGATTTTGTGTGTGTGTGTGAAAACACTTAACACTTCTATACTCTTAGCAAATTTCAATCATACAATACAGTCCTATTGACTATGTCACCATCTTATATATTAGATCCTCACAATATATTCATTTTAAAACTGAAAGTTTGTAACCTTTTACCAGCCTCTCCCTATTTCCCCCACCCCCAGCCCATGGTAACAATCATTCGGCTGTTAATAGTGCAACTATTTTTTTTTTTTTTTTCCTGTGGTACGCAGGCCTCTCACTGCTGTGGCCTCTCCCATTGCAGAGCACAGGCTCTGGACACGCAGGCTCAGTGGCCATGGCTCACGGGCCCAGCCGGTCCGCGGCATGTGGGATCTTCCCGGACCGGGGCACGAACCCGTGTCCCCTGCATCGGCAGGCGGACTCTCAACCACTGTGACACCAGGGAA